AGTGTTACGACCGTTTTGCCCCCTCAAGATATGGTGCACTGCATTCTACTTGATGGTTTATCCCTCAGTTTGATAGAAAATGTTAGAATGAACTACTTACCCCCACAGTGCTAAAAGGTTGGGGATGTACAAGTCCAATTTTACAGGTGGGACCATAAGTGCAATTTTCCCTTCTGTATGTGCTGGGATTCTTGCGTGGTTTATACCTTACTTAAACTGCTGTGTTAATTCTTATCTTAGCCATATATTGTGAAAGTGATGTACTACCCATCACATGGTTAGAGAGAACAAACAATTGGAAGCCTAGAACTAAATTAATGGGTCCTGCAACAGTTCAAAGGACTTTTTGCTCAAAAGGTAAGTGTCCTTGAGATTTATCTTGTCTTGGCAATTTTTAAATATGTAAATTTTCAGCTTTTTGTTGAATTGTGTCCAGTTTATTAGGATATTTTGAATTCTGTGTGTTGAAATGTGCTCATAATTTTGTCATATAGCTCTCATTTGTGACATTTTGACATCCTGATTGTTTGTCATGTCATTAGGTCACCTTTTCATCTTTTTTTCAATACGTTTTGCATATCATCCCAAAATGTTTTGGTAAAATTTCCTATTCACATCAGGAGTGGTTCAAATTGAGATGACTGGCTATTGGAGAATGAACGAGTCAACTTATAGATGAAAAATTTCACTCTTTGGTACATATAGGTTGTTATCTAGGATTATCTTGTTTCTTGCTTGTTCTTGCCTTCACTTCTCCCTTTGTTAGACTTTCACATCTCTCCACTGTTTTATGTGCTTCTTGTTCTACATCACTCTCTCTTGTAAGTTCTGCTAAAATATCTTCCTCCTTTCTATACTTTTTGCTGGTTCTGTACCATTTGCTCTTGTTATTCTGCTGAAGTATCTTGTAGGAGGAATATAGTTAGGCCTTGTTTGACAGAGTTTAATGGAAGCTAGTTGTGAACGAAGAAAGAAAAAGAATAGAATACTTTCTCTTTAATTAATTGGTAAAGATAATACACGTATGTATACAAAACCTAGGAAACTATCTTAGAAAAGTATACAAATTAGGAAAACATAGGATTAAGCTAATTAACCAACTACTAATTATAATCTGTAACACTCACCCTCAAGTTGGAGTATAGATATTAAACAAGCCTAACTTGATACAAAGAAAATCGACCCGAACACCATTTAAAGCTATCGTGAAGATATCCCCTAATTGTTCTCCAGTCTTCACATATCCTGTAGAAATCAATCCTTGCTGAATTTTCTCGCGAACAAAATGACAATCAATTTTANCGAGCAAAATGACAATCAATTTCAATATGCTTAGTTCGCTCATGAAACACATGATTAGATGCAATATGAAGGGCAGTTTGATTATCACACCACAATTTTGCTGGTACTGAAATTTTAAGACCGATTTCAGTTAATAGTTGACATATCCACATTATCTCTCACACAGACTGTGTCATAGACCTATATTCTGCCTCTGCGCTCAATCTTGACACAACGTTCTGCTTCTTACTTTTCCATGAGACTAAATTTCCTCCAACGAAAACACAATAACCTGATGTGAATCTTCTATCCACTTTGGAACCTGC